TGAAAAATGCACAATATTGTTCTTGGAATAAAAGCAGAGGATATAACTTTTTGGACACGACGCAACCATGAAGTTAGAGAGTAAAATCTTGCAAGGGTCATGCTTTTTGACTATTTACACTATTTAGGAGTATTCAGTCGATGTGCGCTCCGCCATTCATCAAGTTTATATCGATGCGGGAATTCAGAATTGACCCCTTTTATTTGATCTACGGCGGCGTAGACTGTTCTTGATCCCCTTCTTATGTCTAGGGATATCTCGTCTAGTTCATATTTTTAGTAATACTCAATTATTGCTCATTCTATTTCCACTGGGATCAAGTATACACTACCCGGTCCAACAATTGAACTCATAATTACTATTTCACTAAATTCAGGAGCCAAGGCAGTTTAAACACGTAGATTAAATAAAGAGATCCCTGTATACAACTGATGAAGGCCGGAAAGCACAACGGCCAAACCATTGTTATAGCAACAACAAAGATGAGGATAATGGTCCGAATGTAAATAGTGTAAATTCCGGAAATCCAGGCAAAAATGTTCTTTCATATTCTGTAATGTCATCTATTGCCCACCTTGCCATAAAATATTTCAAAGACAAGCAATTAATAAACTGTTTCCAAACTCAGCTTCTCCGTGCATTAATCCATTCATTTATAAAAAAAAAATATTTTTCAAGTATTTACATTATTTATTTTCGGACTATTCTCCTCATCTTTGTTATTGTTATCACAACGTCTGGGAATTCTGAACTGACAACGTTTATTTAAACTACGGCGTGGTAGATTGTTCTTGTTGTCCTGGCCATGTCTCAGGATATCCCGTCTTGTTCTTATTTTAGTACTGCTCATTTTAGTATTGCTTGCCCCGTTCCCATTGAGTCGAAGTACACACTGCCCGTATGTAGGGATTGAACTTACAATCACTAGGCCATCAATTTAACGAACCAACGCTTTCATCCATTTTATTTTAGATCGATATACGGAAGGCTGGAGGACACAACCCCCGAAACGTTGTATTAGCAGCAACAGCAACAACAGCAACATAGATGAGGACAATAGTCCAAATATGCAGGATAAATGAAAACTCCTCATCCCAGAAATTCAGACTCAATTTTTTTAAATACTTAAAAAATCAAATATATATATATATATATATATATGTTAATGCATGTTTCATTAAATAATATAGACAAGTTTTGTCTATTTATTTTCAGTAAGTTCCTTTCATATTGTCTGATAAGCTTAATAACATTATCATTGAAAGACGAAAGGAAATCACCATATTGATACATGTTTAAATCCGATCAAAGCTTTCGGCTTACATAAACCATTATCAAAGATGACAAATTCCTTTCGTCTATCAATGATAATTTTTTTATGCTTATCAGAAAATATGAAAAGAACTTATTAATTAATGGAAAATTGCTGCTTATATATGTATATAAATAAAGAAATATAGTTTTAAGGTGTGTTGTATTTATGGGATAAAATGCTCAATATCAGAGATAGAGCGTATGTAAATAGAAATATAAAAGTGAACATTGAAGTCAACACTCAGAGGCGACAGGCTGTTTCATGCTGGGCCTGATGATTGCGTCCAGCATGAAACAGCCTGTCGCCTCTGAGTGTTGACTTCAATGTTCACTTTTATATATATATATATATATATATATATATATATATATATATTAGGAGAGGCACGGTGGAAGTAGTGGATAACGGCTAGGGTTGTGTATTTCTTTATGATATTTTTAAGTGAAGATCCTTGTACACACAGACATCTATGTATACACTCACAATCTGTTGTTAACTGGAGCAGGTAATGGCTTTTTAATGTTAATGTTTTCAGTACAAAACGGCTCACTTGTAATCGTCTGGGTGAACATTTTTAGCCTTTCTGATACTAACCTCCAGAACAGTGACTGCTTGGACTTTCTCGTGATAAGGTTTTCCGCTGACATGAAATGAATGATGATATTGAATCAATTGCTAGATCTGCTGCTAGGAGTTTTAGTTCACTGTCTGTTACTATCTTACTCATTTATAAGTTCATAATTCGCACGTCTATTGAGTATTGCTGTCACATCCGATTTGGTCGGTTCTGGTGCTTTGCACTCTATTTGGAGATTCTTGATGAATCCCAAAAAGAATCTTCAATTTTACTGGTCCTGACATTTCGGCTTTAGTCACTTTCCCTGTATTTTTTCTATAATTATTTTCATGGTAAATGCTTCGATGAGCTGCCTCTTTGGTACCTAAATTTTATGAATTTAAACGTACAACTAGAGTGGCGGCTAGGTCCCATCATATAAGAGTTGAAACGGTTCGGTTGAGATAAATAACCGGAATAATACAACACAAAATGTACGTTAACAAAATTTATTAGTTTGGTATATTCTTGGGAGTTTTAATGGGTTGACTAAATCGCAGTCTTGTTCATTTGTAATCTCTACTATCTTCCCCCTTCCGGTACCAACCCATTTATATGGTCGGTAGTCCGCTTATGTAAATTAGGTGTCAAACAGTTCATCTTATAAAAATCATTTTATGTTAAAGTTTTTTCGCAATTTGTCAACTCCTTGTCATTAAAAATGCAATGTCAATTGTTATCTTCCGTCATCTTAATTCCTGGTCTTTTATCGTTATCTTTCTTTAATGATATTCTCTCACTCAGTAACCCCTTGAATCTTAGCGGGTTTATTCTCGTGCTTGGGGTGAAATGGAGATATCAGTTGCAAATTCCAGCTGTTTCGTTAGCCTTTCGGAAAAAGATTCTTCTCCTCAGAAAAGTGTAAAATAGTATAAGCAGACTGGGATCATTAGCCTTGATAGGCGACCAGTCTAGGAGAAATACAACTCTGTATTGAACATTCGTGCCAACGTGCGCTGTGTAGCGTTATAAATTTCTGCGGTCCATATGTTTCTTTATACTTTGGCAAAGACCTGCTTTCTCTTGGGGACTTAGAAAATGATTGATATAAATAATTATATTAAACAAGACGTAGATGATTTCTTTTTTCTTTAGACTCTGAACTTGAATGCTAGATGATTGTCTTCGGCTGACGTACATGTTCTCTGCTCTTTCTTTTTTTTTTGTACCTTTTTTCACTTGGATATTGGTCTGTTTATTTACATATCAAAGTGCCCAATTTTTTTCGGACGAGTATAATATCTTATATTTATAAGATTATAAATTATTCGAATTTTAATTTTCCAGGCAGGTAAGTTTTACCACTTGAAATATTCTGAGTAAAGGTATTTGTTTAGCCAGTTAAAGAACAATTTAAAAAATCCTATATAAATACTTTCACGTTTCAGAATTTTAAGTTTTCTCACATTGAAAAATGGTGCAATAAAATTTTCTTCCGCTTTTTCATTCAATGAAATTGTATTTACTTGACTAAGCAAAATCACATAGATATTTACTCTTAGATGAGGTTAAAGAATTAAATTTGATTCTACATGCATTCTGCATACCATTGATCGAACATGTGAACCACGACAAAGTTTTATAGAAAATGGAATAAAAAATGATACATATCCTTAACATAAAAAAAAACAGTTGGAATTTCTAGGAGACATAATCAGGAGAAAGAGCTTGGGAAATTTGATACCCACAGGACAGATTGAAGGCAAGAGATAAACAAATAACGAAATATCCTATTAAGTTTGAGTAAAAGGGTGGCAGAATGTGGTTTAGGAGAGATAACACAATGACATAATTTATTAAGAGCTACAAAGGATAAGAAATTGTGGAGAGCCATGATCGCCAACGTCCTGAAGGACACGGCGCATAGAAGTTTTCGTATAACGTTCCACCACCAAGCAGACCCCGAACTTTCACCTATCATGATGAATTGGTCTTTTCTCAATGAGGCTCCTTGCCTTGAATGTTTTTTGGGACTCAAGCTCTTCCCAAACCTTAAGTGGAACTCATATATACGATCTATTGCTAAAGATACTGGGAAAATGGTCGGTTCATTTGTACCATTCCAGTAAATAACTGAATCCACCACCCCTGCTATACTTTATATTTATATGAGTCAGATCAGACCAGAAATAGAATATTACTACCCTATCTGGTATGAAGCTGCCTGTCAAAAAGCATCTGCGCGAATTTGTGGGTGATGAATGATATTCCAGCCTACACCCCTTTTCCCCACAGTCGAAACACAGCGAGCCTTTAGCTAATCTGTCTCTATTTCCATGGTATGTATTTTGACGTACTACATTCCTTAGGCCCACCAACCCTCAGTTTTACAAGTAGGGCCTGCCACCCTCCACCCATATTAACCGTCGTATTCCGGTAGTCAGAAGTAAGATCCATTCCGATAGCTAATTTCCAATAACAGTATCCCGGCAAGATGTTTTTCCCAATCACTTCAATCTTGTCCTCTTCAAGTATCGAGTTAACCGTTATCTTTCATGCATGTCCACTTCCCGCGCTCATATAAATCCACACAGTAACCATCTTTTGTGGCTCTTGGGTCTTGTATTGGGTGAAAATTGGTATAAAAAGTCAGACCTGGTTAACTTCAACGAATATTTCGCAGTGGCATCATTTAAATAAAAGTCATAAAATAATTTAATGAGATTGGAATCCCACCCGCCTTTCACTGATAAAGATTATTCTACAAATATGATATCCACTATGACTAAAACGTATATAGTGTTTTTGATTTTCTTAAGGAGTGTCGTTGATTTTCTATTATGAAGTTGTTTACGTGAATCTGAATACGCGCCATTTGTAAGAATGTACCAGATGTGGACATTAATACTAAACATGTATTTTAGTTAAGTTTTAACTTCAACCAAGCTTAACTTATGTTAAATCAGCAGTTGAAATTGACTGGCTATTTCAGAAAGATACAAATTATTGTTATCTCATGCCTAAAACGAAGTCAGTCAATCGAATCTCATTAGTGCTGAAGGTTGGAGATTATCCGGAAGAAAAAGAAATCTAAATCTAAAATAGAAGAAAAATCGCGCGAAATCTCACCTGAAGCTGTTTGGCTCGTTAGGTTGGGTTTGTAAGCCGAGGAGTCGACGGATGATATGACAAAGAAAGACCACATTCAGCTGAAACAAAAAGATAATAAAAGTAAAAAAAAAAAAAAATATATCAATATAAAATAAGAAGTGTGAAATAATGTCGACAAAATCTTAACAAATTTCAAAAATAGACAAACCCGTTTCTAGAAAGAACAATCTGTTGGTTCTTGCCGTTATTGATTGAGTAACAGCCGGATGCGAAAAGAAAAAAGAGCAAAAGAGAAAATTGAAAATGGCATTTGCACAAGTAAGGAAATCCTGAAAGAATTGATAAAACATCAATTGTTTAATAATTCTGACATTCAAAAGATTTTATTTTAAATACTTAAATATTTTGCAATAAGTTAACTCTCATCATATATACATGATAATGATGATGATGATGTCTGAAACTTGATTGTGAGTTATGTCGTCATTTGATTTCTTCTCTAATATGTTTAGCAAGTATGTATCTTTTTAGTCCTGCTAGGACCTTACATTCTTTTGTGTTGCTGTAGCAACGTTACTGCAGTGGTTATATAAATATTTTGGTGAACTTTAAATACATACATGCAGAAATACACTTACACTGATACGAATATATTTGAGAAAAAATGATTGTTTAAAATTTGTTATATTTATGACAATATAAGAATTTTTGTGCAATATTGAAGATAGCGTGTATATATATATATATATATATATATATATATATATATATATATATATATATACACATAGGTTGTCCATAAAGTTTGTGTGCACTTTAAAAAATTATAACTTTATTTGTATTTGCGATAGAAATAATCTGTACAAATGTTATAAAGTTTAATGTATCTAGTTTTAAGTATAGTTATTGAATAATTCTTTACCACAAAATTTGCAACAATTTTTAGATAAGTAAAAAATATTTACTTTTTTCTTTTGTATTGCTAATGATGGAGGGCATGTGTAAACTTTCAATAAAATCTCAAAAATATACATTTACTTTTTCTAATCCTTTTTTACAAATTATCTATATCGAAAATACAAATAAAGTTATAAATTTTTAAAGTGCACACGAACTTTATCGACACCCTTTATATATATATATATATATATATATATATATATATATATATATATATATATATGAAAGAAAAAGAACAAATGGAGTAAAAATCCACTGTTCGTAGCATTTACTTTAAAAAAAAAAGTGTTGAATAAAAATGGAGCAATATATTATTATTATTTTATGTTATAAGTAATTATAATAAAAACATTTTGAAATCCTTACACAAATGCTTTGATGTTTCAATACTATGATTGTATTTCTTTAGTTGATGGTAAGTTATTTGCCATCGCCTGAACAATTACATAACATAATATTGAAACATGAAAAGCTTTTGTGTATCGGTTTCAAAATGCTTTTTATAATATATATATATATATATATATATATATATATATATATATATATATATATATATATATATATATATATATACTGGACTCTCCTGTCGTTTCCAACGTATGAGGACGAAACAGCTCAGTTCTTAGAACCAACTACTAGACTACCCGTACATAAAATTTGGTTACAGTGGTTATGGCCTGTGTAGAACCAACGGCACATTTTGAAAGAGCCGAATACAGAGAACTGGTGCAGTTTCTGAATTCAGAGTTGTCCTTCTCCTAGACCGGTTGCCATCCAAGGCTATAGAACCCAGTTGGACTTGCTATCTACCCAAAGTATGCGAATGTAATGAATTCGGCTGGAATTCGAACTCAGTTACTTCGAGTCAACATGCATTGTTGATTTCAATGCCCACATTGTCTATACCTAGATTTCTATTTCTTTTTTAAACACATACATATCCATATAATATATTAATATTGTTTAAAAGTTAAGCAACGTCGAGTCTGGTCAGTAGCTTCATGAGTGGCAGCATGGTGATACCTGGTAATGTACGGTTTCTGAATTCAGAGTTGTCCTTCTCCTAGACCGGTTGCCATCCAAGGCTATAGAACCCAGTTGGACTTGCTATCTACCCAAAGTATGCGAATGTAATGAATTCGGCTGGAATTCGAACTCAGTTACTTCGAGTCAACATGCATTGTGTATTTCAATGCTCACATTGTCTATACCTAGATTTCTCTTTCTTTTTTAAACACATACATATCCATATAATATATTAATATTGTTTAAAAGTTAAGCAACGTCGAGCCTGGTCAGTAGCTTCATTAAATTAAGAGTCTACCTTTTCCATCCTAGTTTTTACTTGTATCAGTATATCATTATTATCTCCATAAAATTCTTACAATGTAAAAATTATAAACATTATTGGTTTAATCAACGCTGCATTGTGACAGTCAGTTTCAAGTTTTCAATAAAAACACAGAACTACCCCCATATATATATATATATATATTTAATTAATTCATCGAGTCTGATAGAAACCTCTACAGAATGCAGAAAGCACTGAACGGCCGTTTCGTCCTATATTTGGGAGTCATCAGCAGTGCGCATCCACTACCGAGAATTGAAACCCTGACAGTTAGGTTGTTAAGCTGACATCATACCAACTGTCCCAAGTGGGCCTCGGTGACGAAGAGATTCCAAATCAGACTCAACAAAGCGCCGCTCGCTCACATATTCCGTGGCGGAACTCGACTGTGATTCGCTATTACCATAGGACTGTGCCCCTGGAGCCACGACTACTATCACCAAGCCGCTACCTACTGTAGCATTAGAAGCCGGTTCAAGATGATAAAGACAATTAGTAATTAATCGGAGGATTTGATAAATTTAATTAATTCATCGAGTCTGATAGAAACCTCTACAGAATGCATATATATATATATATATATATATATATATATATATATATATATATATATATATATATATATATATATATATATATATATATATATATATATATATATATATATATATATATATATATATATACACTATTTTTCAAGTAATTTCAGCAGTACTCGTTAACCAAACGTATTACAGAATTTTGTGTAATCTTTTGTAAGCCGCTTGTTTTGTGAAGCATCCGCATACATAATGAAGAATACTACTTAGAAAGTTTTCCACAAATATATACGAAAAATATTATATATTACTGAGTAAATGCAAGACAAAATGGAAAACTGTATTTAAGTTTAAAATTTTGATACAGCGAATATCAAAATTGAAATTTAAATGTCCATCGTTTGTGTATCTTTAAAATTTTGATATAAATTGCAACCCTCGTTGGTTGTAGTTTTCTAGTTTCACTAGTTTTATTCAGATAATTGGATCTATCAATAAAGCTGGCATTTGTCTGAATAAGATCATTATGAAAGAAACTGGTCACAATACAGTTCGTCATTTCATTATTTGTTTACTTTCTTTGCTTATATATATTTATATATATATATATATATATATATATATATATATATATATATATATATATTATTTAAATTTAAAGTTAGATAAACCTACCAAGATTTCCTCCGGGATCGTCAGAGAATACTGAGTCAGTATTCCCTGACGATCCACGTAGGTCAAACATTGGTAGGTTTATCTGGCTCTTTAGGTTTAATTAGGTTTGCTCTACTTAGCGTATTGAGCACTTTACTTATTTATTTTACTTACTCGTATCGAGTTTTTTTTCTTTGGACTCTGAACTTGGATGTTAGACGATTGTTTTCGGCTGATGTACATGTTCTCTGTTCTTTCGTTTTTGTATTGGATATTGGTCTGTTTATTTACATATCAGAGTGCCCAAGTTTTTCCGGACGAGTATAATTTCTTTTTTTTTTTAAGCATTTCACCCCAAGCAAGGCGAAAAGCTACTAGGACGCAAGGGGTTACAGAAAATTTGGAGCAAGATCAGATAGGAGTGATAGAAGAAAGGATGAGGAGAGGGATAGTGGATAGAGCAAGGCGATTGACATTACATTTGAATTGCTGGAGATTATAGCTCTCAGGGAAACTGGAATAGGGAAGGGAGGTCTACAGGCGAGAGGTGCGAGACATGAAGCTATTGGAGTAGAAGAAACGGCTACATTTAGGAGTGAGTGAAGGGTTGAGAGCGGGATGCCAGCCTCGTAGGGGGCTGGAACTCATGACGTCTGGGAACCAGCGAATGCAGCTCCTCGGAGCAATTGCCATGAAAGTATTTGTAAAACAGACAGAGAGAGGCGACGGCGCGTCTGTGAGAAAGTGACTGTAGACAAGTTGCCAGATATATATTTATAAGATTTATTATAAGTATTTACATAAAAATATGCATTTGTTTTCCATTACCGTAATTTTTCATGATGCTTTTAAATGCAAAACGGTTCACAATGTGCCGAGCACCTTTCATTAAGAAAGAGAATCAACTCGGATGGATATATATATATATATATATATATATATATATATATATATATATATATATATATATATATATATATATATATATATATATATGTGTGTGTGTGTTTTTTCTCTCTGCTATCCGTCAGGTTTCGGTCCTGGCTTGAAGTATTCGGATGTCTAGTCGCAATAAAGAGCTATGCTGCAGCGAAACAATGCAGTCTGAAGAATGATATATATATATATATATATATATATATATATATATATATATATATATATATATATATATATATATAATATTTATTCACTGCTTGCGACTAAATATGAATTATTTTTTAGGGGAAGCAGTTTATTTTTTACGTCTCGTGACTTGTTTAGACAGAAAATTGGGAATACGATCAGGTAATATTGTCGCTGATCCCGACTGAAAGGTGGCTCGCTTTTTACAATATCATGTCTGCGGTAGATCCAGTCTAATCTTCAGATCAGGTGATTCAGTCTTGTCTCGTTTTTAACAGGATTTATTAGAAAAACAGACAAATTATTTTCGGTATCGACGTAATTCGAAATTCTTAAGATACAATTGGTCTTTATTCTCTTATTCGGGACACTTACTCTTTTTCTTTCTTGACACATTCACGTAATTTCTTTAATTCAAATTTAGATCGTCTAATTATGTCATGAACAGAGAAAAGAGTACTGAACAATTACGTAATATGAGTCCTATATGGAAGTGAATATTGGAGAATCTTATCATTGATGAAGAAGAGACTGGAAGAAACAGAAATGTGGTTCTACAGAAGGATGTTTAAAATAGCATGGACCGAACATGTGAGAACTGACGATGTTTTAGAGAAAATGGAAACAAAAAATATACTTTTAGTTAACATGAGGAAGAGACAGTAGAAATTTGTAGCGCAAATAATGAGGAAAGAAAGCTTGGAAAATTTGATAGTCACAGGATAGTTTGATGGTAAAAGGGACAGAGAAAAACTTTAACTTAATAAGTCATGAGATCAGAATATTGTCTATGGCGTCTTATAGAGATCAGTCTACTTATTTCAAAAAAGAAAAAAAAGAACAGTCAAAAAGGGCACAAATCAACTTAGTAACTATCAGAATCATCCTGATGAATATTTACGAAGTTAAAAGTTAATAATAACACAATTTTATACTTACGAAGATGCAGATGAGAAGTGGCACGTAAACGACCCATTCTATATTGCCGGCATTTTTTATCCAACAATCACTTATCAGGCTGTATTGCTTATCTGTGTCGCTATGAAAAAACAAAAACAGAACATTATTCTTCAAAATTATTATTCATATATATATATATATATATATACATATATATATATATATATATATATATTTATTTTCTAAGCATACGTTAGATGCGACACAAAGCCGAAAGGTAGGGGACACCCAGGGAGTATCGAACTCACTCGTAATTATTCTAGCGAGTCAAGTTTGGTAACCATTACACCGCCTCGAGGTGCCCCCCCTGGCACACTCAAACATATATATATGTATATATATATTGTTGTGTTGCTTTGAAATTTTTCATGCAGCAAAAACAGACTATCATTATTGTTTCGTCCGTGTATTGGTTGATATATTGAAATGTAATTGTCATCTTTGATAATGGCTTATGTAAGCCGAAAGCTTAGATCGGATTTAAAAATGTATCAACATGGTGATTTCCTTTCGTCTTTCAATAATAATATGATTAAGCTTATCAGACAATATGAAAGGAACTTACTTAAAATAGACAAAACTTTTATCTATATTATTTAATGAAACATATATATATATATATATATATATATATATATATATATATATATATATATATATATATAAGTACCCCACAATTTACGACTTGTGCTTTACTAACTGTTGAGATGTGAGTTTCCCGCGTGTCGGTGTATGAATCAAGACAAACACAGTTGTAGAGGAAAATACTGGTATATTTGTAAAAGCAATTAACAATAGAGTGATTAGTAGAACGAAGGTTGGTTAGTACGAAACAATATCCAAAGTCTATAGTCCAACGGTATGTAACGAGTAAGCTTATCTGGACTGCTGACGCTCTATCTCTCGCTCGCTCTCTAGAGCTGACTTATATAAGAGGGACCAGTCCATTTCTAGTTAGAAGGTGGGTGCGCCCCAACACTAACTTAGATGTACTCATACATAGAAACATGAAGTCATGTTTTCCGCCATTTCTGTATCATTTTTTTAAAGGTGATTTGGACTTTTTGAAAAACCAAAGTTCGTAGAAATCCAATTCCGAACTGTGTGGAAGATCTGCGTGTTCTGCGTGATGCAATGTTTTACTAAAGCAAAAAACACGAGACATAAAAAAAGTCAAGTCATTCAAAATGGCTGAATAATTAACTGTGATTGTAACCCGCATTCTACATTATCGACTCTTCATCTGAACCACCTTGAGTGATTTTCCTCTATTTACTGGAACCCAGAAAAACTTTCAGCACTAACATGATAAAGTCCGACAACGCCCATGGTCCGGCACTTTTTTTTTTTTTGAATCAGCCGCAATTAGTTGGTTGAGCAGCTCCGAGTGCACGGCCCCCATGTTGTTTACAACTTTCCGCAGTAGCCAACAGCAGCACAGTATTTTGGTGATACAGGTCTTGCTCATTTCATATATACAACTGCATATTTACTCATTCAAGGATACTAAATATTTTTTTATTTTTAGTTTAGGATTTTTTAGTCTTTGTATTGAATGACAATGACATATAAACGTGAAAACAATTAAAGCATTGTTTGGAAGCTTAATTAGTTTTATTTCCTATTTTAAACTTTCTTCTACCTTTGATAAGAGAGTAATATATATATATGTGGAATGAACTGGCAAATCTATGTTTATATAGATGTTTTATAAGGATGTTTTCTGTCATTCAGCGTTTACTGTGGCCCAACAGTAGATTGGTTACATATGTTTATACCGAGTGAAAGAGGCGGGACTGTACAATGCGACACTTACTAAGGTGAAAGAACTAATTTCTAAATTCAAGTCAGAGAATCAATAGCCATTGGTGGTGGATATTTTTTAAAAAATGGCTGAAAACAAACTCTGTCAAATGGTTTTATTTTGATCCTTTTATCTGTTATAGTTACATTAGAAGTAAATAAGAGTCATTGATTTTGGAGCCTTCCTCGTATATATGCGACCAAATATTTATGAGGAAATTTCATGTGAGTTACAACCTCACTAATGTCTGTCGTACCCTCTATAGTATGAATAAATTTCACTTTTCTCAGAACTGCCTATGCGTTTTATTAAAGAAAAGAAAGTGTCTTTGTCTTAATATGACTATTGGCATCTGAGAAGAAATGAGGGTCTATTTTAAGAACTTATTTTATTTCTTCCCTAGTGACTATCTGTTAACGTTCTAATTTCACAGAACTATAGACGAAAGTCTTCCATCCTCGAAACATAGTCTATCCAGCATAAATATACCTTTTGTTGTTTGATATTAATAAATGTTGTTATATAATTCTTGAAAAGTTCAAACCTTGTCACTTTCACTGCAAATAACGAACATTTATACCCAATGCTGATAGAGGCGTCCTCAGACGTTATTTTGCGCTGATAGATGACCCAAGATTCGGTACCATACTTTTTTGCCTTTTTCTTCTTTATCATTGCCCTAGACAACTTTTTCTCTGTCCATCAACATACCTGTTATCTATCGCTTTGTTTAGTGTGACAATAATGAATAGGCACATATTAAGTAAGAGAAATCCTGAACTGTTTTCACTTTCGACAAGCCAGTTGAAACCAAATAGTCTAATTTATAAATATCTCTATAAAGGTAGGCGCCCAGCACTTCTTTGTATATATTTTTTTAATACGATATTAGTAGATTTTGAGTTGAATACTAAATCACGAACTTATTTTTTTAAAACGAGAAATACTCGTTGAGTTCCTCGCAGATATCTGATACATCACATATCAATCTTGACAACTGACGTCATTTATAATTTCCTCGTTCACAAGCCGTTGTCGGAAAAATAATCAGTTGCGCGAAAGAGGACAGCACATCCCTTGATTTAAAACTGAAATTAATAAGACGAAAAAGAACAGAAAGAAACCGTGGCCCGTCTCGTGGCGGAAATAGTTGTGCATTTCCAACTTGTAACAATAAATCGTCAAAGCTAAGAAGCGTCGAGATCAGATGGTGTGGGGAGGGATTTTGGGAACACCGGTTACTGTAAGTAAAAACTTTTATAATTCTCCCAAATATATTTTGGATTTAAATAATCCCCAAAAAACAATCAATAAACAATCAATTGTGACAATAACTTGTGTTCAAACCAAAAGCGAAAGACAGGATCTGAAATGACGATTTTCAATGCAAAAACCTTTTAAATGCAGGGTTTTAGCTCAATACAAATTTTCTCATTTCGTTTGGCTTTATGACATACAAACGTAAACTTCATAGTGAAAGGGGAGGTGCAAATATTGTTTGTGTCAGGTATCAGTGCTAGAACGCGTGTAAAAGTAACTATTTCGAATGTTGATTTGCAAAGACGAACCTCTTCATTTGAATGTTTATCACAACAGATACTGCCAAACTTTAATTTGACATTCTATCAAGACAACCAAGAAACAGGTGTCGTCTTTTTGTAAAATGGACAAAGAAATTAACTTGTGAATCTATGTATGAAGCAAAAATCGGAAAATAGTTTTACGGGAAAATGTGGTTTTATTATTTATAAACTCCTGATGTCTATCTGTCTATATCTCTTTGATGAGGCATTAGGATTACTTGCATTATTCATAATATTCGGATTGTTATTCTCATCTTCATTGCCATATTCATAACGTTTCGGCCATTGTACGCTCTGGCCTTCTTCAGGTGATTGGAATTTCGAACCGAACCCTTCATGTGGGCCTCTTCCACATGTCTCAGTTATTTCCCTTTAACTCAACTCTGCAAGTTTTGGTTCACAACTGCTGTTGTCTGGAAGTGAACTCACAACTCTCTGGATCTAGTCACTGGATCTAACCAACGTCTTTATCCACTGATGTCTCCTTGTGTGTGTTGTGGGTGCGCGTGTGTGTTGTTGGTGCGTGTAAGCGCGCGCGGGGGCGCACGGGCACGTGAAGGAGAGAACGACAGTGCCAAGGGGAAAGGATTAAAAATGATTAAGTGCGTGCCAATGAAATTCTAAGCATAACAAATATCAACGAGCAAGCATGGGAAAAAGTACGTCTTGTCTTGGATGTGATATGTACACGGAAAGATTGGCGTATATACGAGTGGGGTTGCTAAAATGGCCCCGGTTCGAACTTGATGGCTTTTAAAATGATATTTGATGATTTGGTCTGATTTTAGGAAGTTGTCTGAACCGAGGCCTTTTTTTCGTTGTAAAAGTGGAAAATTTTTAGCTATCGCAGAAGAGATTTGTACGCGATCCGTGAGTGTTGTGCGTGAGCACCTTAACTAAAAAGCCTCATTGGAAATGATAAATGACTTAGTAACGAAAAAAGATATATAATAAAATGATAAAAAACGAAGATTTTTCGCACATTTTTAAGTGGCGTTTGAAAAATCTATTAAAAAATAAAAGGATATGATAAAAAATTTAAAGAAAGTAAAAAAAATGGAAAGTGATCTTTTACGTTAAAGTGGAAATACGATAGGATTTTGACGGGAAAAAAAATCCACTCAGGAGAGATTAACTAAGAAAAAAATCTTTTTTTCTATTTCATAATTTTGTCCTTACACATAAGTTTGAGATTTCGTTCAGCATCGACTCATCTCTTGTAATTTTGTAGAGATCTCCAAAGTTGCACATGTAAATTTAGACTTCTAGAAATACTTCATAGCCTCTCTGACATAGTGAAAATGAGTAAAAACTTTACAAGATTAAGAAATCTCTTTGACTGCCATACAAACTACACTTAATTTTAATGCATGTTATATTCATGATTAAAAATGGTCGTTATCAGTGAGAGAACGTATCTATATATAAAAGTAAAAGATTAAAAAGATTTTATTTTATTTATTTTTTAAATCTTTCTTTTACATACCTAGGAAGCGGAATAGATTCCACAGAAAAATGTAAAAATCCGCATAGCTAAAGCTTGGACCGTCTTGAATGAAATGGATGTAATCTTTTGAGTCACACTAGAGGCAGTGTTAATGTAGGGTGCCACTGCCTGGACATTAACTAAAACCCTAGTAGCTGTTTGGTGGAACCTAAACTCAGATGCAGAGATATACTTAACATCTCTTGGAGACAACATCCAACTAAATCACAGCTCTATGGACCCATTCCTGATATTTGTAAAATCTTATGCGAACGGAGGATGCGCTTTGCAGGACACTGTTGGTGAGCAAAACAAGGATTTTCGAGTGATCTACTTCTCAAGACACCAATCCACGGAACAAAACGAGTTGCTTGCCGAGCAACCATGTACACTGACCGGCTATAATATGACACAAAATGCTACCCCAATGACATTTGACCTTGATGCAGGACTGAGAAGGTTCGTGTGATAGATTCATGAATGTCTGAGATAGCTCGATCAGTTACATAAAATAAAATTTAAAAGTGGACAATGAAGTCAACACCAAGCGGTAACTGTTTCTATCTATCTATCTATCTATCTATCTATCTATCTATCTATCTATCTATGTTACGCTCTCTCTCTCTCTCTCTCTGTGTCCATGTAAGAGTCTATACACCGGGGTTGAATAAGACTGAGGTAGTTTTATTCAGTTAAAATAGATCTATTCCAACCCCCGATATGAGGTAATTTGGGATTTTGTTGTGTAATACTATTTATTTGTTTTGTTGTAATAAATACATTGAGCTCTTTTGTGGATCAGTTTTAATACTGCTAGAATCCACTTGGATTATACACCAACAGATTTATTACCTGTACTACACCCCCCACACACACATACACACACACACATATATATATATACTATTTATTTGCTCTCTTGTAATAAAATAAGCAGTGAACTCTTTTCGTGGATCAGATTTAATATTTTATATTACTAGGATCCACTTGGATTATATACCAACAGATTTATTACCTGTATTATATATATATATATATATATATATATATATATATATATATATATATATATATTATACTCTTGTGAAATTTGTTAATCATTTTATTAATTATTTACAATTAAAATTTTATTTATTTTATTATTTTTTTCAACTTTCGCGCCTCTTTCGTTATTATTGTTGTGCCTTGATTGTTTTGTATTTCGCCAACGATTGAATTTGAAAAAAGTGTTGGCTGAAAGGATTCTAAGGTAGAAAATGACGTCAATTTTGTTGGTAGAGACGAGCCCAAACACAAAACACATGGCTTGAAGACTTCGTTCAAGCGTGAAATAGTATGTCGCCGCTTGATGCTGACCTCAATGTCAACTTTTATCTTTATTTAAAATTTGTTCTGTACTAAAACATTTACTATGTTAATGATGTACTACTTCTATACAACATATTTACGTATATACTTATGCAGTTTAATTTATACAGATTGAAGATAATACAAAAGGAATAACATTACGTTGAATCAATCCAAGTAAGGACATCTTGTTTGCCATGAAAATCTATATTCGAAATGCTAGATTTAAACCAGGCTTGAACGCTAAATACAGTATTGACATATTTATAATCAGTGTCCAGACTGTAAAAACAGAATGACCTTTTCTGCAGTACGTTGTAGTTTTCGAAAGTATTTATTATTTATTGTTAATAAAGGTTATTAAATAAATATTATTGACAAAGAATAAAGAAAATGGGATTGTTTTCATTTATAATTGTTATCTCTACCATTCGTAGACATTTTAGAGCTTTTTGTATTATTTTGGTTCATATGATTTTAACTTCTTAATGAACTGAATAGTTATTTCGGGAAATGATTGTTTTATCTCTTCGCTATTATAATAGCTTGTTAATGTAACATCTAGAAAGACGTTTACATTTAACTGTAACTTTGAGTTTCACGTCAAAACAGCGAGCATCAGAGGATTACAATATAAGAATTTTATAGGGTTCCTTTCCTTTTTTATTTGTTTTGTTCTCTCTCTCTCTCTCTCTCTCACACACACACACATATATATATATATTCTCTTATCTAAACGACAGGACTCTGGAGTATTTAAGATAAACAAATGACTTTTTAAAAATATATATTTATATGTTGCATGAAAGAGGGCAGATAAATAAATGGGCAGATAAATAAATAATGTTACACACACACATACACACACACATATATATGTATATACTCTTTTTATCGATTTCACATAGCGATATATATATATATATATATATATATATATATATATATATATATATATATATATATATACTCATTTTTATCGATTTCACCCCATGCAAGCCAGTAAAGCCACTAAGACACAAAGGGTTTGCAGCCGAATTTTAGGAACATCTTGTTGTTATTGCTGTGTTGATGGATTCAACCATTTTCTTTTTATTTCACGATATCGTTGTGTACGTTTGTCTGGGAGAGTAGTATTTCTGTTAAGAAAGGTGAAATAGGGAAAAAAGCCTGGGCGTAGATTAATATTTGGGTAATATTCAATGGCGGCACTCTCTAGGATTTTCCTTCTGAGTGAGTTATTTTCTTTTTTTTGTGAGTGTAGCATTGTTAAAATCAAAATTGTGGTTGAATTTATTTCTATGTATGACTAGTGCGCAGCAATAATAACAATATCTCCACACGTGACACTAATTGATGTAATTTTCAGTTAACATTATGAAAATAGCGCTCTCTAAGTTCTTCCAGTTGCAAAGGACATTTTGTTTTTGTTGTTATTAGTTACTTTGTTTAAATAAATTCATATCGTTTTTTGCCTTGAGAAAGTCCACATTGGACTTTCTTAGTCTCTGAGAAATTTTCATATATATATATACATACATACACACACACACACACACACACACACACACACACACACATATATATATATATATATATATATATATATATATATATATATATATATATATATATACGTGTAAGTGTGTATGCAAATCCAATCATCAAAGTTGTTATATTTGAAAGTGGGCATCTCATAGTTATTTTAAACACCATTACGTGTATGTTTCTTTGTGTTAATATGTGATAAATTCACAGTCCATTAAACAATCTAAAGTTCTTCCATAGATTATCTTAGTATTTAACATTTGATTAATGACTTGGAAATTTAATCTTCGATCCTCAATTAAATAAATCAGTGAATGTTATATTTCATTGTTTTTCCCGCGATAAAGAGACATGAAACGCATGCGATTAAAATAAATATGCCACCGTTGGCGATCATAACTAAAAACACGTACGAGAAATCAGGCAAGAAAAAATGAAAGGGAGATAAAATTAAATAAAAAATCATAATTGCAATAAATTCTCAATTTTTAAAATATAAACTCACTTTTCTCTTTCCATAAATTTTCCTCGGAGGATGGCGTATATCATCAGGATGAAAAATGGAAAACCTAAAAAATAAAAACGAAAAAAAAAAAAAAAAACGAGCATGAAGCATGATAAAGATTAAAAGAAAAGAAATATTGAACAGTGTGTTAAAAATTCCCGAAGGAAATTAAAAAAAAAACTGCTTTTACTTTTTTTTACATTAAATTTATTAGGTTGCCCGCTAAGATATGTTGCCTTTTTGAAGAGGGAATAATATCCATTTAAATATAAGAAACTTTAAATGAATCTATCAAGAAGATAATCATAATATTAAGAAGGTCAGATAATTCTTTACTCCTTGTCTAATTATTGAAAGAACCTTAACATCTCGACAAAACCTTATTTCAACATTTCAGTTCCAACTATAAGGATTTGGTAAACAGTTGATGGAATATGATAGTTTTTGTTTATTTTAAACTCTTTGAGCAAAGTAAAACAGTCGCAGTTGTGTATCCCATAAGCTCTGTCCGAATTTTACCTTTTTTTTTTAAATGAACGAAATCTAAAGAGTATTCCATAATGTCGAATGTAGCTGAACATTATTTCTATGTTTAGATGGATTTAAACTGATAAAATTTTATTTCAGAGAACAATAAAATTAAATTTTGTACCCTGCTAATCATTTGAGGCACATAATGCTTTATGAGTTCAAGAAAGGAAACTCAGCAGCTAAAGCAGCTAGAAACATTCACTCAGTTTATGGAGAGGAATATGTGAATGAAAGAACTTGCAGAAGATGGTTTGCAAAATTCATGGATGGAGATTTCACCCCTTAAAGATGAAGATCGAACCGGACGTCCAGTTGAGTTTGATGAAAAGCTTCTTGAAGCAGCCCTTGAAGAAAATCCTGCTTTATCAGTTGAGGAATTGGCAGTGTTTCTCAGTTCAAACCATAGAAGTGTTCATTGTCATCTTCAACAACTTGGAAAAGCACCTAAACTTGGAAAATGGGTGCCTCATGAATTGTTTGAAAACAACCTCAAATCCCGAGTTGACATCTGCTCTTCCCTCCATTCTCGCCAAATTGTTTCACCTTTTTTGGATAGACTTGTGACTGGCGACAAAAAATGGATCTTTTATCGAAATGTTAAGCGTCGTAGACAGTGGCTTGGTAAAGGGGAAGGACCCCAGCCACAGCCGAGAAGGGAACTTCATGGGAAAAAGGTTCTTCTTTCAATCTGGTGGGATCACCAAGGAATAATCCACTTTGAATTCTTACCATTTAATGCAACAATTAATGCTCAAATATACTGTCAGAAACTAGAGCATTTGAACCAAGCTTTGAGGAAAAAAAGACCTGCTCTAGTGAATCGAAAAGAGGTGATGTTTCATCAGGACAAAGACGGTTGGGAGAAAAATCCTCATCCACCTTATTCTCCCGATCTTGCTCCTTCAGACTACCATTTGTTTCGTAGCTTACAGAATCATTTGGAAGAAACAGCTTTTGTAACACAGGAAGAGGTTAAAACTGGCATTTGTGAGTTCTTCGAATCAAACCAAAAGAATTTTACAGTAATGGAATTAGTAAGCTTGTTAATAGACGGAAGGCAGTCATAGATAACCATGGAAAATACACTGTTGATTGAATCTGTAATTAAATGTAACATTTGGTCACTTGTTTTCTTTATTCAAAATTCGGACAGAACTTATGGGATGACCTGATATATATATATATATATATATATATATATATATATATATATATATATATATATATATATGTGTGTGTGTGTGAGTACATTTATGTAGATTCTGTAACACGATGCGTTTTCTCCATCAACTGCCAGTAAGAACAAGAGTCTAAATACGAACTGTATTTGTAAAAGAGGCTCATTGAGATTATGAAAATCACAGTCTGAAAGTAAAAAAAAAAAAAAAAACGTCCAGTGGAAAAACAAAACATTACAAAAATAAAAAGCGTAAATTTAACTCACCGTGAAAATTCAGTCTAAATAGCCAATGACAAGCCAAAATGATGAACAGAAATTTCACAAATATTTCTATTCTTAAGTTGAATGCAATACGTAAGTGTATGTACGTCTGGGTATGAAGCTGGCCTGCCGAGATTTTCTGTTTGTCTTTCTAAGATAAGTACAATGTTGTAATGCAGTATTGGTATGTACAGAGAGAGGTAAGGTAAATGTGATGTAGTGCCGATGTTTTTCATCGTGAGATTTGAGACGAGATCCAGATGAGGATTTTTTGTGAAGTTATTTCCTCCGACTTCCGATAAATGTTGAAGAAGAAAGTATCGTTTTGTTGCAAAAAAAAGAAAATATTTTGGATATATTTGTTTTCTTTTTAGCTCTATTCCTTGTTTTCCAAAAACAAATATAACGAATTTTAATCAAATATGACCAACACAATAAGAGAAGAAATGGAAAAAAAAAATGAAAACGTGAAAAAAACAAAAACAAAAAACAATGGAGACGATCGTGGGAAGTGTAAATATTATTTTTTTCTCGAAGGCATCTAAACACGTATTTGCTTATAGACTGCTTTCCAACACCTGTTATTTTTTTATTTTCAACATTGTTTAAATAATAGAGACATTTTTTTTTACATTTGCTGCATTTAGAAGAAAAGTTATTGAGGTTACAAGAAATAAAAGTTTGTACAATGTGGTGGTTTTCAAAGATGAGCATTGCCTGATTCAAGGTTTCAGTACCCATGTTCCTGATGAGAATTTATTTCCCTAAACTTTTCTGTGAGACCAGCTTTGTGATATGAGATGCTTCTTGGTTGCTTCAGTGAGGTTATTTATTAACTTATCGAGACATCTATCAGAGAGATGAAATTTAAATTTTTATTTGTGCATTATTTCAAAATGGTAACACATCACCAGGTAGCTATTAATGTCATAAACTTAGCACAAATAGTTATTAATTAAAATAAATATTAGTAATTAATCTATAATTTTAAATTTATTAATTTTTGTATGATAATTTTCGTAAGAATCTTTGTGTAGTTCTTTAAGTTTGCTTTAAAAACTTTTTCATCAAAATTAATTCGCCCTTGCATGGAGTATTGCTGCCATATATGGTCTGGGGCACCTTCTGTTTGCCTCGGAGTTCTTGACAAGATCCAGAGACGGATATGTAATATAATTGGCCCTGATCTAGCGTCTCGTTTACAGTCACTCTCTCACAGACGCGCCGTCGCCTCTCTCTGTCTGCTTTCACTGGTTCCCAGACTTCATGAATTCAAGCGCCCTACGAAGCTGGTATCCCGCTCTCATCCTTACACTGTAAAAACTTTTAAATGTAGCTGTCTCTTCTACTCCAATAGCTTCATACCTCGCACCTCTCGCCTGTGGAACACCCTTCCCAATTACTGTTTCCCTGAGAGCTATAATCTCCAACTATTCAAATGTAATGTCAATTGACATCTCCAGGTACCTTGATCTATCCACTATCCCTTTCCTAATCCCTTCTTCTATCGCTCCTATTTGCTCTCGCTCCAAATCTTCTGCAACCCCTGCATCCTAGTGACTCCACGCCTTGCTCGGGGCGCAATGCTTAAAAAAAAAAAAGACACGACTTAAAAAAAAGAAAAGCATAACGTCTTTCGCGACAGTGCTTGCTTCTGATAATCTTCTATCTCTTTCAAATATTGCATCATGTGATATTATTTATTTTATATCAGGCCTTTTCTATAGGATGCTAACAGATATTAAAAATTGAAAATTAACCATAAATATATAAAAAATGCGTATACAACTATTTGTGCTATATTATAATGCATATTACCTAAATAATAATACTCAATAGATTTTTTTTAAATATTAAAGTACATTTAATCACATCTCCCTAATAACTGTCGTGATCTGTAAACTAAACTTGCTCGATAGTAACACATACAGGATAGATGGAATGTGCACACTTTCCTTCAAAACAAGCCTGCTTATATTTGCCATCTGGTAGGTACCTAGAGCCGGCCAAATGCGGTGATTTACTCAGCTTCAACTTTTCTGATATTGTACCGTAGTGGGTGGGAGGCACTCGGATAGAAACAAACTCACTAAATTTGCAAACTGTTCAGTGAGTATAAGCTATATTAGACGCGTAGAATTCGTGTGGAACTCTGATGCTTTTGTAAGTTTTGCATAAACTTTAAAGATTATGGGGCCATTTGTATCAATTATTATATATTATTATAAACTTCAAATATTATGGGAACATTTGTATCAATTATTATATATTATTATAAACTTCAAAGATTATGGGGCCATTTGTATCAATTATTATATATTATTATAAAGTTCTAAGATTATGGGACCATTTGTATCAATTATTATATATTATTAAAAACTTCTAAGATTATGGGACCATTTCTATCAATTATTATATACCATTATAAAATTCAAAGATTATAGAACCATTTGTATCATTTATTATATACTATTAAAAACTTCAAAGATTATGGAACCATCTGTATCAATTACTATATATTATTATAAACTTCTAAGATTATCGGGCCATTTGTATCAATTATTATATATTATTATAAACTTCTAAGATTATGGGACCATTTCTATCAATTATTATGTATTATTATAAACTTCAAAGATTATGGTGCCATTTGTATCAATTATTATATATTATTATAAACTTCTAAGATTATGGGGCCATTTGTATCAATTATTATATATTATTATAAATTTCAAAGATTATGGGGCCATTTGTATCAATTATTATATATTATTATAAACTTCAAAGATTATGGAAACATTTGTATCAATTATTATATATTATTATAAACTTCTAAGATTATGGGGACATTTGTATCAATTATTATATATTATTATAAACTTCAAAGATTATGGGACCATTTGTATCAATTATTACATATTTTTATAAACTTCAAAGATTATGGGATCATTTGCGTCAATTATTATATATTATTATAAACTTCAAAGATTATGGGATAAGTTTTACATAAACTTCAAAGTTTATGGGACCATTTTTATGAATGTAATGTATGAGAAAATATATTAAATATAAGCTGTCTTATATGACTACGT